GTGTGTGTGTGTGTGTGTGTGTGTGTGTGTGTGTGTGTGTGTGTGTGTGTGTGTATTCCATAGTAAATGTTTGATGAAGTATGTCAGCATGAAGTCACAGAACTAATGGATGAGACACTTAGTCTATGCCAAGTGTTATGTGGGATTCTAAGAATACAACACGAGCAAGAAATGAACCGTACTCTTAGGAGCTGTTGCATAAGAGTTTCCTCCTAGATTGAAACATTCTATCCTTCAGGGAAACTCCTAAAGCATTAAGGTGAACTATTCAAAATAGCCTCAGGAAGTCCCTGAAACTGACCAGATTCCTTAGGCCCCTCCTGCCAAAGTAAGCAGTAAGAGCCGAGAGTCCTGCCAGAGAAGCAAAGCTGAGCTGCAAAGACGACTCTGAGACCTAACTAGCTGCCTGGAAGAAGCAGAAACCAGCCAAGCTGCCTGGAAGTGGTTTAGAGCAACTGGGTTGCTTGGAAGGGACACTCTCCAACCTGTTGAGCTGCCTGTATATTGTGTAGTGTGCTCCGGTTCCCAGGTTTGAGAACTGTCACCCATGCTGGGGTAGGTCCTGATGATACAGCTGTCTTTGGGACATTTCTGCTCCAGTAACTAACCCTTCACCCATATTTCTGTAAGTAGCCACAATAAAACTCACTGGTTCACCAAGTTGGACTAGGTGGGATCAGATTTTTGTCTGCCATGGGATACCTGATTACAAGTGTGTTTTTCCCCAGGAAAAATGTTGTCACCTAACAAGAGCATATAAAAAATGTAAACGGGAAGTTACAGTGAGTGCGGGTGAGAGTATTAAGTACCAATTTGTAGTAGGGGGTGGGGAAGTTGTAGTGACATTTTTGAGTCCTTTTAGTCCCAGGTGTAGGGATGTAGGGATACTTTGAACTGCCCACAGCAGCTAACTATGATTTACCTCATGCTCTAGCAGAGGCTTATTTTTAGCCAGCTACCGATAGTTTCTGAGTTGTGTGACATTTAGAATTCTGGAAACTTTTCAGATGGCATATAAATGCTAGGGCGCTGAGAGGTGGAGTCGGTGGTTGTTGGTCATTTTTTTTAGGGGGGAGGAGATTGTTTGTAGTTTGTTAGTAGTCATGGTCAAAGAAGAAACAAAAGAAAAGAAATTAGATTGAGGGATCTCTAGCTTTCTCTCTTTCTCCTTTATTTTTGTTTCTCTCCTATCTAGTGATAGAGGGCAAAACTGGGGGAATAAAGGGTGAGAAAAAGAAGAACCCACAAAGTAGCAAAGACCAGTTGCATAAACTAGCAGGGAACACTTTCTGGAGAAAGTCTCAGATGAGGCTGTAGGTTGATTGATACCGAAAAGTGATGAATGGCCAAGAAAGCAAAAGGTAAAGGAGATGGCAAGCCTAAAGTTCAAAAGAAACACAACTATAAAAGGAGGGATGAAAAGGGGTTAAGTCAAGTCAGAGAAAGCTGAAGACCTTCTCTGGTGGGGACAAACCTTGGAGAAAAGCATTATCTTGGGCACTCTGATGAAACGTGACAAGCACAAATAATTAAAGCTGAGGTACAGGCCAGAACTAAGCCGTGGATATCAGAACCTGGAGGTGGTGTGAGACCTGCTAACTCAATACATTCTAGACAGAATCACTTGACAGTGCTAAGTAGGATGGACTGACTGAAGAGTAGAAGGTGAGGGGATGGGACAGACAATTAAGACTCTTGTCAAGCTATATGGCTGGGAGGTGGGAATAGGATGAGGCAAGAATGTAAATCTATTCTACTAACCCAGATTTCATTTTTATTTTCAAATAATTTAAATTAAATTAAATTATTTATATAATGATTTCTTACCTTTATTATTATTTTTTAAATTGTTCTAAGATAGTCTTTGGATTAATTGCTGACTTTGGCTATGCACCTCACATGAATTTCATTAATCTTGCCTAATCCAGCTACGAAGAAAGATTTACATTTGTGTCATCACAGCGGTG